ATATACTACGCAGTCGGCTCGTAGCATGACACGGGTTTTCAAGACTTATAAACTTTTTTGGTAAAGCTCAAAACAAAGTGGTAAATCAACAGAATACCGGTAACTTAGTAAACTTTGTGTCTGAAAAGTCTTAAGTTTTCCTTTTACCTGCTTTCTTTTCCTTTTACAGATTTCTGTGAACTTTTCAATTCTTTTCGTAAATTTTGCGTGACACTTGTTGTTTCCCATGTTTTCCTTCAAATTTTTGCGCGGGAAATTAGCGCGCAGCTGCCAAAATATGTACCCATTTGCGCATGCCCGACGTTTGACCGCTGTGTTCCGCCTAGCGCGGTGAACATAATGTCATATAAGGAATCGCTCAACCAATCACATTGCTGGAAACTCTTTGTTCAACTCTGAAATTACACTAATGCTTGATGAATCGTTTAAATTCGGCAACTGATCAAAATAACAGAAAAAAAGAGAAGTGTCCGGCATTAGGATGCACCTGCTGCCTTTAGCACGCGACCACTCCTGTATGGAACAAGGCTTGAAAAATCATCAACACGAGCAGGAAAAGGATAGAAAATTGGACATCTGAATTTAAAGAAAAACAAAATGCTGTCAGATCAACATGAAAGCAGCATCAGTAATTACAACAACAAAACCTATCAGGTAATGTCTAGAATCCTAAATACATGGTGTGTTCGTAATATCCCAGTTGAGACTTCTGACAGGATTGGACGGAAAAAATCATTATGAGTGTCTTGAAAGGGTAAATGGAAACAGCAATTTTCCTATTATTACAATGGGAAAATGTGATTAGGGTCACCGGGAGCAAGAAAAAAACACAATGGGAACGGAACGTGACACAACCTAACATATATTTCTTGCGTAATAACACTCCTCTCGGTCATACAACAGCTTTTGGCTTTTGGCTAATCCAACTTACAATTTTTCTGCAATGCTGCAACGATTTATGGTCATGCAAATAAGCAAATGCACTGTGCCACACTACTGAACCATACCGGCATTCACTACACAGCCTTCGCCCCGCCCTGCCTTGCCCTGCTCTGGAGTGCAGTGAAGTGAAGAGTGCCGTCCATTGTACTGTACTACATTACGTCGTGCTTCACTTACTTGTCCTTACTTATTTCACTAACCTGACTGGCCACCTTTTGTTTTGGGATTCGATGTTTCATGAGCTGGTTCCACTGAAGTAAGAGTACTTGGTTTTTCTAGAATTGCATTACAAAATAAAAACTATTAAAAGCCTGTAATATAGGTAAAGCCTGCATACGAGCCGAGTGGCCCATCAGGCCGGAGCTTATCCCAGTTTCCGTAGCATGAAGTGACTAGGAGTATTTCTACTCCCCCCTGGATGGGATGCTGGTCCATCGCAGGGTTACCCCCAGCATTAAGTTCGCCGGTACCCATTTATACACCTGGGTGGAGAGAGGCACTGTGAGAATAAAGTGTCTTGCCCAAGAGCATAACGACGGAGAAGTTTACTGTGAGTGTCCTGAAAGGGTAAATGAGAACAGGAATTTTCCTATTATCAGGCAATGGGAAAATGTGATTTGGGTCACCGGGACCAAGAAAAAACCACAATGGGAACGGAACGTGACACAAATTAATATTTCTTGCGCAATATCATTCCTCGAGGTCATAGAAAAGATTCTGGCTTTTGGTCGATCCTTTCTCAACTTACAATTTTTTTCATCATTTCAACACTCTTTTTTTATTATTATTATTTCTTAATAAAATCTACATTTTACAGTTGGACTCGCCCGCCCGTTTTTTCAATGCTGCAACGATTTATGGTCATGCAAATAAACAAATGACCACCCACTGCACTGTGCTACACTACTGAACCATACCGGCATTTATTGCACTGCCTTCGCCCCGCCCTGCCCTGTCCTGCCCTGCTCTGCAGTGCAGTGTAGTGAAATGCTGTCCATTGTACTATACTACACTACGGCCTGCTTCACTTGCTTATCCTCACGTAATTCACTAACCTGACTGGCCACCTTTTGCTTTGGGATTCGATGTTTCATGAGCTGGTTCCACTGAAGTAAGAGTACTTGGTTTTTCTAGAATTGCGCTACAAAATAAAAATTATTAAGCTTAGGTCTGTAATATAGGTAAAGTTCACACATTAGGCCCATTTAGGCCGGCGCTTATCCCAGTTTCCGTAGCAGGAAGTGACTAGGAGTATTTCTACTCCCCCCTGGATAGAAGGCTAGTCCATCGCAGGGTTACCCCCAGCATAAAATTCGCCGGTAACCATTTATACACCTGGGTGGAGAGAAGCACTGTGGGAGTGAAGTGTCTTGCCCAAGAACACAACACAGTGTCCTCAGCCAGGGCTCGAACCCGGACCGTTCAATCTGGAGGCGAGCGCACTAGCCATGAGGCCACCACGCCTCCAGGTCTGTAATGTATTTGTCAATTAATACCCGCCCAAAAGAGAAATGATGACTGGCACATTGACTTTGAAAATAGATTACCTTTTACAGTTAAATATATTTCAGCGTATTCTGGATGGTGTGTAACGTTAGCGAAAAATGCTTGAAGCGTGTACAGACCAGAATCCAGAAGTGTTACGTTACTCAGACGGAAGGACANAAATATATTTCAGCGTATTCTGGATGGTGTGTAACGTTAGCGAAAAATGCTTGAAGCGTGTACAGACCAGAATCCAGAAGTGTTACGTTACTCAGACGGAAGGACACATAAGTTTTGTTTGCATAACGCAGAGAGTAATGTTGCTGGCATTGAGCCAGTAGAGAATCCATGACACAGGCGCCATGTTTTCCATCTTGTACCTTTCCAAGCGTGATGACGGAGATGTTTCCTTTATAAATTCTATATTTGAAAAAATCGTCCGTTTTGTCGTAGGCGGATCTTTTAAATAAAAGATCAACGGTTTCTGATGTATACGCTGTTTCTGAAAAAGAAAAAAATATTTCCTTCAACATTTTTATATTTAATAACTCATATCTCGACAAGCTTTAAGGCGGAGTTGCGTGGCAGTTTCAAAGCAAAGAAAATGGTAGTTCAATCGCTTGCGGTCAATGTTTTTTACCTTCACCATAAACAACGATATCTTGTACGTTATACACGTAAGTGTATCTTGTGCGCTTTTTAGGCGTAATTTGTAAGGATATTGAAGAGGCTCCGTCTACACTGATAGGCCTGAGAAATTTGAGAAACGCAGCTTTATTTCTACGGTTAGGCCTACCGTCCACACTAATCCGTCACGAAAACGGAACTTTTCGCAAACATCCCTCAAACCGGAGGAATTTGAAAACGCCGGCCTTGAGTCAGTTCTAGTGTGGACCAAAAAACACTTCGAAAATCCACTCTGCCACGCTGCCTCCAAATAATAATGGATAATTTACCTCTAGAATAGCTCTGATTGAATTGGGCAGTACAATTTAGGTGACTGCAATGAAAACAAAAGAAAAGAAGTTAGGGGTTGCTGAGGTTTGGCCTTAGCCAGAACCTCCCAGAACAGAAAATACGGTTTCGCTAGGTTCCATTTCAATGGAACTCAAATTGACAGTAAAAGTCATAAATGCGTCTGCATTGGGACACATTAGTCCTTCATATTTCTAATTTACTAGTCAAGGGCTTATTCATTTGAAGACATTGTCGAATGTAAAATAAGACTTCATTAATCAATGAAAATTATATTTCATCATCCATGTTTTAATCAAGACAACTTAGTCCAAAAAGCCAATTTCAAAACTAAAATTCCTAAAATTCTAACGCTACCATTTACAGTGAAATTTGGAAACAAGAATCCTTAATGTTTATCTTCGAACAGGGGGAGTTCCAAAAATAGTCGTTTTATAAATTGTTTCTCCCGTTATGCATGCAGGCGTTATGGACCCTATTTATAATGGCCGTCGATAAAACCAGGAACATGGAACATTCCGGGACATCGCGGAACATCCCGGAACATCGAATAATTATCATAATTATGCGAAAAATATGTAAAATTAAATTTTTAAAACTAAAATAAACAAAAATAAACTGTATCAGCTTGGAATATGAAAAGATATTATTGGGGATAGGGGAGTCGGTAGCAGAGGGGTAGGGAGCGTTGGATCTTCATTCAACTAACCACAATGAGTGCAGGCTCCTCTTCTTTCCCGCCAATTGCGTCACGTCGCTTTTCAGCACTCTGTTTTTTCAACACAAACATGGACGATTCTGACGATGAATGCCAGGTAATTCATTGCGTCTCCTTTTTTGATCCCTGATTTCTTCAATATCTGAGGTGTTTG